CTACTGCATGCAGAGCTGTGATAGTACAATGGTTAGAATAGTACTGCAGGGCTAATTCACTGCTCACTGCCAGCAGTTCGATTTTGACGAGCTCAAGGTTGATTCAGCCTTCCATCCTTCCGGGGTAGGTAAAATGAAGGCCCAGATTGTTGGGAGCAACATGCTGACTGTAAACCACTTAGAGAGGGCTGTAAAGCACTGTGAAGCGGTATATAAGTCTCAGTCCTATTTCTATGCCTCTTATGAATACTAAAATTGCATGCCACTGTCATGGCTGTTTCTCTCTCTCTCTCTCTCTCTCTCTCTCTCTCTCTTTCTCTCTCTCTCTCTCTCCTCTTTTTCCTTGAAAACCTTCAGTGTTGGAGCACCCACAATTCTGGGAGGCAAGCTGTTCCATTGGCTAATTGCCCTCAGTGACAGGAAATTTCTCCTTAGTTCCAGGTAGGATCTCTCTTTAACAAATTTTCACCTGTTGTTTCTTGTCCTGCCTTCAGGTCCTTTGGAAAATAAGTAAGTCTCCTCATCTCTGTTACAACCTCTCAAATACTGTAAGACTGCTATCAATGGTGGTCCACAAGGCAACCTAGATCCCTCTCACAGTTACTACTCTTGAGCCAGATACCACCTATTCTATACATGACCATTTGGTTTTTCTTGCCTAAGTGCAGGACCTTACTTTTTTCACCCCTGAACTGCATCTTATTGGATAGGGCCCAATACTCAAGTCCGTCAAGATCCTTCTGAATCTTGAGTCTATCTTCCAAAGGAGTCTATGACAATTTGCCACAGCGAACTCACCATCGCCAGTTCACCATGGCCAACTTGCTGCAGTCAACTCGTTGCGAGATAACTCGCCATGCCCAACTCACTGTAGGACAACTCGCCACGGGCAAGAGTTAGAATGATATTGAAGAAGTAGTGAAATAGAATCATTAAAGAAAGAATGGATAGAGGAGGGACAAAATGAAAAGTGAATGACAAAAATTAAAATATTTTTAAAATTATTTTAAATAATAAAATTAAACTGTTGAATTGTCTCACAGCAAGTTGTCCTATGATGAGTTGCCCAAGTTGAGTTGTCCCAGAGTGAGTTGACTGTGGCAAGTTGGCCATGGCGAATTGGCTGTGGCGAGTTTTCCCATTCCACTTCCAAAGTGTTTGCGATTTCTCCCAGTTTGGTGCTATTTGCAAATTTGACGAGTATCCCTTCTATCCTCTCATCTAGATCATTTATGAAGATGTTGATGGTCCCAAGATACCTTGGGGAGATACCCCACTGCATGCTTCTCTCCTTGTAGATATAGCTCCATTGAGAGCTACGCACTGAGTGCAATTGGTCAGCCAATTGCAAATACATCTGGTGGTGGTATTGCCCATCCCACAGTGGTCTATTTTATCAAGAATTAAGTCCCACTATGTTTAATAAAATACCTTTTTCCCCAATCATCAGAGATTTAGCAAATCAGGTCTTTTCATTTGCATAATGAATTTGGTACCAATAACACAAACTAATGCAGAAATATCTACTTTGTTGAAGTTACATCTTGCTACATTGACAGCAAGAAATATTATCTATAGGTTGTGATGTGACACTATGGCTTGTATGAATTGAATTTTTTATAACATAGTTTTGAAACGAAGACGAGTAACCTAATTTTTTTTCTTGGCATTAGAATCACTAGAGCTGCCCTAACTTGCAGAGCCATGATGCACTCATTGAAAATGTCTGCCTTTAGGCTATTCTTTTGTTCTCTGTTTATATATCTGAGCAGGGCAAAATGGACATCAAAATAATCCTGTTATTTGCCAGCATTATTTTAAAAAGAGCAGTTTTTTCCTAAGGTAAAGACAATAAAATTAATACAATGATAAAATTAACATATGTTTGTTTGTTTTTTTAAATTTCATTTCATTTATGTATTTATTTTTATCCCGCCTTTATGATTTTTTGTAAATAACTCAAGGTTATGGCCATAACTAATATTTTTTCCTCCTCTTATTTTCCCCACAATGAGTTGCGTTGGGCTGGGAGAGAGTGACCAGCCTAAAGTTATCTATTTGACTTCCATGTCTAAGGTGGGGAATTCATAGTCTCCTGTTTTCTAGCCTGGTGTCTTAACTGCTAGACCAAACCTGAGCATTTTATAGTTTATGGGCCACATCTGGTCCTTTGAGTGTCCCTGTCTGGCCCCCGCAGGAGGGTGGAAGCAGGTGGAGACTGGGCAGTGACAGGGTGGCAGTGGGGTGGTGGCACAACAATCCCAGTTTTTCTTGTGACCCTTTGGGAAAATTAATTGCCCCACCCCTTAATTGCACTAGACAAAACTGGCTCACAATTGACACTATTACAATAATTTAAATTCTGAGCTTTTTTGCATGTAATTCTTGAAATTCTGTTACTTATAAATATATATCATCCTCAAGTGTAGAAGCAATGGAATTCAGAGTTGGAGGTCTTCATTAACATATTCAAGAAAAGGTTGAATAGCCCTCTGTTAAGATTGTGTCCCTGCAATAAGCAAACAGTTGGACTTATTGATTTAACTGGCTCCTCCAATTCAAATCAAGATTACTATTTTAGTAGTACAAAAGAAGTGGAGGAAGGCATGGCTATGGCCTCTGGCTGTTTGCAGAATTTAACCGATTGCTTTTCCATCTTTGGATGTGCCTGTTTGTATCCAAAATGAGAAATAAAGCATTTCTTGGCTATCATGTCTAAAGAAAGTAAAGGTAGTCATTGTCTTATGATCATAAATGAGCCCAAACTTTTTTTGCTAAGTGAGAAATTTGTTAAGTGAGTTTTGTCCCTTTTTACAACTTTTCTTGACCCATTTGTTAAGTGAATCACTGCAGCTATTAATTTAATCACATGGTTGTCAAATGAATCCGGCTTCCCCATTTATTTTGCTTATCAGAAGGTCGCAAAAGGGGATCACATCAGGATAGATTCTACTTACCTTTACTACCGATTTGCAATGGGGCCACGCGCGTGTGCTTGCTCTGCTCGCACGAGCGAGCGCTCTTATGCGCAAGCATTCTGATGACATCGGGGTCAGTGGGTGGAGCCTCCCGCCGGTTTTACTACCGGTTCTATAGAACCGGTGCGAACTGGGGGCAACCCACCACTGGATCACATGAATCCAGGACACTGCAATCTCTCATATTTATGAGGATCAGTTGTTCAGCATCCAGATGTAAGTCACGTGACCATGGGGATGCTGCAATGGTCATAAGTGAAAAATGGTCATAAGTTACTTTTTTCACTGCCATTGTAACTTTGAACGGTCACTAAGCAAACAGTTGAAAGTTGAGGACAAAGTACAGGTAGATCTTGATGTACAACCATCTGTTTAGTGACTATTTGAAGTTACAACAGTACTTGTGTTGTAAAGTACTTGTAAAGTGACTTATGACTGTTTTCACATTTGCATTGTTAACATGATCAAAATTTGACAACAGCATATATTTATGAGAATTGTACTTTCCTGGGATCATGTGATCACCATTTGTAATCTTCCCAACTGGCTTCTGTAAAAGCAAAATAAGTAAGGGAAGTCAGATTTACTTAACAATCCATGATTCACTTAACAATTGCAGTGCTTCACTTAACAACTATGGCAAAAAGGTTGTAAAATAGGACACAACTCACTTAACAATGTTCTTGCTTAGCCATGGAAATTTGGGGCTCCATTCTGGTCATAAATTGAGGTCTATCTGTATTCAGGAGATGGCAAGGTTGATACTTACTCCTCTTTTCAGTGCATTTTCCTATTTATTGTAACAAGCTAGTTATGAAAATATTCAGAAAATGTATCTCTTCATATCAGGACTCATAATCGACATGGATTGGATAAAAAACAGCCTCAGGCATTGACAAGTTTATGGACACAATGCAGCATTAAGGGACAGAGATGGTTAGCAAAGGGAAATGGTGGGTTTAGAACACAGAATAACAAGAGTTGGAAGGGACCTTGGAGGTCTTCTCGTCCAATCCCCAGCTGAGGCAGGAGACCCTATACCAGTGATGGCTAACTTTTTTGCCGTCATGTGCCAAAAATGGGTGAAGTGGGGGGGGGTTGCGTGTGCACATGCCCACACCCATAATTCAATGCACCCCACCCCCGTGCTTCCCCTTTTGGCATGCGATGCCACGTGGGCCCGGTAGGCCCATTTTTCACTCTCCCCAGGCTCCAGAGGCTTTCTAGGAACCTGGGGAGGGTGAAAACAGCCTTCCCCACCCCAGAGGCCTTCTGGAGGCCAGAAATAGCCCATTTCCCAACTTCCAGTGGGCCCGGAAGGCCCAAAAATCAGCTGGCTGGCACACACATGCACAATGGAGCTGAGCAGGGGCAACGCTCATGTGCCCATAGATATGGCCATCACGGCTCTATACCATTCCAGACAAGTGGTTGTCCAGTCTCTTTATAAAAGCCTTTAGTGATGGAGCACTCACAACTTCTGAAGGCAAGCTATTCCATTAGTTGATTGCTCTCATCATTAGGAATTTTCTCCTTAACTCTAGATTGCTTCTCTTCTTGTTTAGTTTCCATCGTTTCTTGTCTTGCCTTTGGTGCTTTGGAAAATAGTTTGATCCCCTCATCTTTGTAGGAGCCCCTCAAGTATTGGAACATTGCTATCATAACTCCTCCTAGTCCTTCTTTTCATTAGACTAGACAGACACAATTCCTCTAGCCATTCTTCATATGTTTTAACCTCCAGTCCCCTAATCATTTTTGTTGCTCTTCTCTGCATTCTTTCCAGAGTCTCAATATCTTTTTTATGTTGTAATGACCAGAACTGGGTGCAGGATTCCAAGTGTGGTTTTACTAATGCTTTGTAAAGCGGTACTAGAAACTAGAAAAATTAGGTTTTATTTTTCTCTTGCTTCTTAGGATAAGAGGGATTGATCTCATATGGCAGATCTCTGACAATCTTCTGTTTCTTGAAATTGGGATTGGTTCTTCTTTTAGTAATTTATCAAATCTGGCAAAGTAAGCCACTTCTTTTAACAAGCATATTTTATTTTAATCAATTCCATGGATAACTTGCTTTCACTTTGAAGTCTATGTTGGTATTCTGGCAATACTGAAGCTGTTGCTATTCTTCATTCGTTTCTATATTTATCATAAAACAGGATGTCTTTCTTTTTATTAAAGCATCACAAAAATGAAGACACTTGTATAAGCAAATTATTGTTAATAGTAACTCATTTCTTTACAACAAATGCAGGGAGAGTCCTGTTAGTTTACAGCTATGAGTACAGGATGAAATGCTACCATTTTAAGACTGCAAAATGGCCCTTATTCTAAAAGTAGCTGATGATCTTATATAGATGCTGCAGAACTAGGGACATAATATCTGCATTTACAATGAGTCAATGATCGTAGATTAAAATAAACCATCCATCACTGAGCACTGCAACATAAAAATAGAAAAATAGAAATCATGGAATATTCTAACTAGATAGGTGCTTAGATGAACAGATTCAATTATTATAAACAGCAATATCAAGAAGCCTAGTGAGAGTTAGGACTTACATTTCAAATTGTTCAGTTTATCTTATTACCAATAGGCACTACAGGATTTAGATGACAATTTTGTTGCAACCTTGGTAACAAACAGGGGTGGGCTGCTGGGGGTTTGCAGGGGTTAGGGAGAACCTCTAGCTAAGATTCTGTGTAGTTCGGAGAACCCCCAAATCCCCTGGATGGCCCTGCCCACCCCACCCCGCCTCTCCCAGAAGTCCCCACGTGGCCCGTTTTGGATGCAGGTAAGTGCAGGGCATGCACGAAGGCTCAGGGAGGGTGAAAAACGGGCCTACTGGAAGTTTGAGAAAGCCAGAAACGGGCCAGTTTCAGGCCTCTGGAGGGCCTCCGGAGCCTGGAGAGGTCGTTTTCACCCTCCCAGAGGCTCGAGGAAAGCCTACGGAGCCCAGGGAGGGCAAAAACACACACACGCACCATGGTGCAGGAGGCCAACTAGGCCACGCTCATCATGGCCATGCCTACCCAGCAACCGGGCAGAGAACCCCTTGCTAAAATTTTTGAAGCCCACCCGTGGTAGTAAACCCTCATTGGGCTCAACAGTCTTACTTCTGAGCACTTATGTAAAACAGCATACAGCTAAGCAATAGAGCCCATTCAATAACTAGCAGACTTACACATAGATGCCTATGTGTTCTGTTGTCACAAACTCAGTGTGCTTATTGTATCCTTTGAAAAACATCTTAAGATTCCAGGATTGTCCTTTCAGAAGGATCCTTAGAGTTTCCTAGTGATTAAGAAAGATTTTAACATAATCAATCTAAATTTCAAGGCTGGAGTAGCCCTTACAAAAAAATATTTTCTAAATATGTTATGAAGATCTAAATGCAAACTGCTCGCCAGGATAAGAAACCTCACTGAAAACCTTCTGGAAAAAAAAACCTTTTAAAAGTTTAGCTGGCTTCCAGAGAACTATGTCAAGAAGGGAAGCATGCATTCAGATCATAATAAGCCTGAATAAGGAATGTTGGCAGGCATACTCTTTACTCCTGCATGCACCTTTGGCTCCCATACAGTAGTTAGAATGTTTATACATAATGTTGAATAAAAAAAGAGCAACAGAGGCATTTCAGGCATTCTCCTTGACAAAGTAGATGGGTTACCTAGTGCAAAATAAGATTCAGATTTGGTTTACTCCTCTTTGTAGGAATAATATTCATTACTTCCTGAAGCACCTAAATAGCCTACCGTTGTCTAAGACAGTTAAAAAGTATTTTAATACTTGTACTTAACATACACAGAATACCATATTTAGTATGACATTAAGCATAAAGCATAATATTTCCTTATCGAAAGGTTACTTATGATTTATCACCAAATACACAAACCCTGAAGACTAATTCAAAGTGTTATTCCCTGAGACAGCAAAGAACTCAGTTATATAAATTTTGTTGTACTTCTTGCCAATTTGTCTTATCGGCAGCCGGAGGGCAGTGTCTTCATTTTCGCTGCATGGCAAGTTCCCCTTTCTGCTTCTACTGAACTTCCTCAGCTAAGAGTTTTGATGAATGGATAAACCTTTCAAACTGTTCTGAAATTAATCCCACCTACCCTGCTGGGTATCTCAGCATTGGCATCAGCTGCATGAGCTGGGAGAGATGGCAAGGTTTGAAGAATGTTTATAATCACATAAATCAACAATAGTAGAGTTCTAAGTTATGTGCTAGATCCAGCCTGAAATGAATTTAAAAGTCCAGAAATAAGTAAGTAATAAGAGTTTTGGATCATTGGAAATTTGTACAATTATTATTTTTTCTTTCTTCAAAAGGGATTCCATTGAAGTATCTCACATGATCTTTAGTTCAAATAAATGTGTTGTTTTTAAATCACAACAGTGTTGCCTAGCATAAAATGCTTATAACTACCCAGCTCTTATTTTCTTTTGGGCCCCAAAATAAGCACTAGGGCTTATGTTCAGAAGATGTCTTATTTTTTTCCCACCTTCGGGAGGCCCACTTCTGCTTGCTCGCATCCATGCAGGAGGCCACACAGTGCGCTAGTGTTGCTGCCACAAGGCAGGGGGGGTAGAGCTGACCCATGTGACCTGCACTGGCTTACCTCAGGGCGCCCACAGCCACCTCACCTTCCTCACCTCACAGCTGTGGCACCACCGCACCGCTCAGCCTCCTGCTCTATTGTGGCCATGAGAAGAAGTGGGCCGGCAGCCAGGTGGGCTCCTGCTGCACATGGTTACTGATGCTGCCGCCATGAAGTAGTCTCACGGATAGCCTGGCTGCAGGGGCCCTGAGGTAAGCCAGTGAGAGGCACATGGGGTAGTTCCTCCACCACACAGTCTTGTGACTGTGGCACCACAAACAACAAGATGGAATGAGTGGATAGACAGCTGCACAGGATCTTAAGTAGGGCTTATTGGGGGGGGGGGGTTTGGGCATATATTAGGCTTATTTTTGCGATAGGTCTTATTTTCAGGGAAACAAGGTATATGCATGCAACTACCATATACAGTAACTATACTGTAAGCAAAACAAATCATAAACTGTTTATAAATATCTATATAAATAAAAATGTAAATGTCTGTTTGTACATAACCACACATCTCCAAAAGTTCTTTACCGATTGCTTTCAAATTTTGACACAACGTTGCATTCGACTATGGGCATGTTTTTATATACCTATACTATATACATGTCACATCTGTGACAGGTAAAAACATGAAAAACTTTGGAAAACATTGAAGACATTGACAAACATTGACAAACATTGAAAAACAGCGCCATCTGCTGGACGTAAAACCAACAGGGCAGCCTCCCAGCCCTGATTACGCCTAACAGATTTCTGCTCCTTATATTTAGACTCTCCATATTGCTTCTAAGAAACTGCCCGTTTGGAAGGCAGAGACACCCGAAGCAGGGGTGAAATCTAAAAATTTTCGCTACTGGTTCTGTGGGCGTGGCTTAATTAGTGGGTGGGGCTTGGTGGTCAGGTGACTGGGTGGGCGTGGCTTGTTGGTCAGTTGGGCATGGCCAAGTCGATGTCACTTCGTTGCCTTTTTTTAACCTACAAAACACAACACAACAAAACTGGCTCACCCACAATGTAAAAGCAGCTGTGCTAGACCCAAAATGGCCCCTGCAACAAGCAGGAACCTCACACAGCCACAAAAAGCCCAAAAAACCAACTTTCACACTTTACACACACACAACACAACACAACACAACTGGCTCGCCCACAATGTAAAAGCAGCTTTGCTAGATCCAAAATGGCCCCTGCAACAAGCAGGAACCTCACACAGCCACAAAAAGCCCAAAAAACTAACTTTCACTCTTTACATACACACAACACAATACAACTGGCTCACCCACAATGTAAAAGCAGCTATGAAAGACCCAAAATGGCCCCTACAACAAGCAGGAACCTCACACAGCCACAAAAAGTCCAAAAAACCAACTTTCACACTTTACACACACAAAATTCCACATACAGCGGGGGAGAGAGAGACATAGAGATAAAGAGAGAGGGGGAGAGAGAGACACATAGAGAGATACAGAGGGGGAGAGAGAGAGAGACATAGAGAGATACGAAGAGAGAGGAGGAGACAGAGAGGGAGGATTTTGTGGTTCCCATTGTTTTTTAGCAACCCTAATCACCAACTAGGTAGGCGTAGCTCGGGGGCTGTCATGTGACTGATGAAAGTGAGTGACGTCGAGTTGGCCAAATGTTTGTGGAGAGTTTGGAACTTCAGCCTCGCTCTTTTAGCCCAGCGGAAGCACCAGACAGCAACGTGTGGCCGGGTACAGCTAGTAACTATATAAAATATATAGCTTCAAAGTATGTTTCTGTCCTTAACCTTTAGCTACTTATTTATTCATATTCAGAGTTCATATTCATAACTTCTCTGTATGCAATAGCATGATCACAAATCAATTGATATGGAAAAATCAGACATTTTTACACTGTTTTTACATGGACTTTACACAGTCTGTAATGAAGATAATAGGAACATTTAGGGAAAAGCTGCCTATGAAGAACCACAATGTCAAGAGCACACTAGAAAATGTCAAGAGTACTCAAGAAGAACGTCTAGCTGTCTCAATGAATTTTTTTCCTCAGGTTTACAAAAACATCACTAAAACATTTTTTTATTTTTAGATTATTTTTCCTGACTTGTGCTAGGGTTAAACAAAAATTTCCTTTGCATACATTTTTAGCTTGGTTTCACAAGCTTACTGTAAGATGAGATGCAGTGAGTCACCCTCTATTTTTAACGGCTATAATCTAGTGATTGGAAATAAGAACTCATTCAACATATGTCACCTTTGTTTTCTTCAGAGAGATGTGTGGTGGGGGGAAGAGACATAGGTTTTGAATGTTATGTGGGGTATAGTATCAAAAATGAATAGTCTCGTATAAACATAATACATTTGATTGAGAAATTGACTTAATTTAAGATGCAAATTTAGATTAAAGTCCACTATTAAAGGCTTTATGAATCCTGATACATGAAAAAAAATAATAACAGGGACATCTTTGTAGATACTAGTAGTCCTTGCTTAGCAACCAGTCAAAGTTACAGTACCAAAAGGTATTTACAACCTGATTTGGAAGCCCTGGTGGTCTCATGTCCCCCATAGTCATATGATCACATTTTGTGCACTTGGCAACCAGCTCATCTTTACATGTTTGCAGCATCCCATGATCACATGTCTGCGGCTTTCAACTGATGGATGATCCCTCAGGTAGTCCCAATGCCAAGAAGAACTTTAGAGGTGATAATCAACATCTTGAATTGCACCCAGAAGCCAACAGGTAACCAGTTCAGCTGTTACATTCTAGACCAGATGTGACTTCTAAGTGGCCTTCAAGGGGAATGCCATGTAGAGCTTGTTAAAATAATTCCTCCATGAGATGATTATGGGATGAGTGACTATGTTGAGTTTGGCATGCCACTATTGTGATAATATGACTCAAAATATAGAGTTATCATTAAAGTCTGGTGCAAGAGTAAAATGTAGTCATTCATTTATTTCTGCAAGGGATTCTAAGTGATAGAAGGAATAAAAACAAAAACAAAAAGAGTTTTAACAAAAACCAAATACCAAGGCCAAAAGCACATTCCAAGTCATAAAGAATGCTATTCATCTATATCAGTGTTTCTCAACCCCAGTAGCATGAAGATATGTAGACTTCCGCTTTTAAGTTGGACCTCTCCATACCTAAACTGGTGGAAATTTTTGTTTAGCTTACACCCAAATGCTTTTACCATCATGCTATAATATTAATTTTAGTGACTGCCCTTTCTTCAACTGTAAAATCCCAAACCTTTTATATTTAGCATTTAAAAGAAACTCTGGGGACTAACATCGCCAAAATACTTTTGAGAAAACAATTTTCTTCATCAAAACACAATGAAACACGTTACCTGTCCTTTTAATTGCAACGTAACTTCTCATTCTTCATTTATTTCTAAAGCAGTATCTCTGTGGTTAATTGCCTTACTTTAGAGTTCCATCAAACTGTTGACCTGAGTTTCTGTGAATAGATTCCATAGAAAGGAGAAATAGAAGTTATCCAAAATCATAAGTTCAGCACCTTGTGAAATTGGTTTAACTCTGTCCAGGATACCGGTAATGTTTGAAAATTATCAGAATTGCCAAAATGTATATTTTCCCAAATTTAAATGATAGTTAAGTTTGTATATTGATTTGTCTATCAATATATGAATATATTTTCTTACAAATTCTTACAATAAATTTCTTATTTCTTACAATAAATATACATTATTCTGGATATGGCCCCTCACAATATTCAGGGTATAATCCTATCACCCAATCTCAAAATTTGAAGTTACAACACTGGAAAAAGTGACTTACAACCAATCCTCATAGTTACAACTATTGAATCATCTTCACCATCATCTAACTGCCATTTTGCTGCTTGGCAACCAACCATCTGAATCCTTCCACAAACAAAGTCAATGAGGGAAGCCAGATTCACTTCATGACCATGGCAAAAAAATATTATAAAATTGTGCGGTCATATGACACTTAACAATGGTATAATTTAGCAACAGTTGTATCTTTCTTGATTCAGGTTGTAAGTTGAGGCAATTTGTTTTCTATCCTTACATTGCGTATGATAATGTAGTCTGAGATTAGGTCCCAGCCATTATAGTTTAAATGAATTTGTTTGTTTGCTTGTTTGTTTACATAATTTCTTACAGCTTCCCAATTGCAAAGAAGGTTTGAAATACATCATGGTAAAAAAGAAAAACCAGAATAATGAAACAAAATTTCACATGGAAAAGACAAAAATGTCAGTCAAGTCATGTTTCTGTGGTTCACAAATTCCTCCAGGCCCTTGGAATGCCAAAAAAGCATCTATTTAGCAACAGCAATAGCAATAGCACTTAGACTTATATATCGCTTCATAATGCTTTTACAGAACTCTCTAAGCAGTTTAGAGTCAGCATATTGCCCCCAATAATCTGGGTCCTCATTTTACCTACCTCGGAAGGATGAGTCAACCATGAACTGGTGAGATTTGAACTGCCGAACTGCAGCTAGCAGTCAGCTGAAATAGCCTGCAGTACCACACTCTAACCAGTGCGCCACCTCAGCTCAATCTACTTCAGTAAATCTATAAAACACCTTTGCAACTTCATGAACGCTTTGAAATATATTTCCTGCATTTCATCATATGCGCATATTCCTGCTTCATCCCATTTATTCTGTTTTAATTTTTTAAGTTTTTCCTTTATTTTTTTGTTCTTGTTTAATATCCACCCTGACGTAAATACACTAGAATGACTTATAATTAATGATACTTAATGATAAGAGCCTTGGTGGCGCAGCAGACTAAAGTGCTGTTAAGTAACACCAACTGCCTGCAATTACTGCAAGTTCAAATCTCACCAGGATCAAGGTTGACTCAGCCTTCCATTCTTTCAAGGTAGGCAAAATGAGGACCAGGATTGTGGGGGCAATAAGCTGACTTTGTATAAAAAAAGAACACCGCTTGGGGGGGGGAAGCCCTACTAAGCAGATATATACAAAAGTATGAAGGCTATTGCTTAACGCATTGTAAGCCACCCTGAGTCTCCGGAGAAGGGCAGCATATAAATCGAACCAAAAAATAAATAAATACTTATAATTTAGTGTTTTTCAGGTTCATATTAAGAAATATGGACTTCAACATCTAGAATAGTCCACTGGGATGCTGGCTGAGAAATTCTGGGAGATGAAATCTATATATCTTAAAGTTCCTGAGGTTGAGAAACACTGCCTTAAAAGATCACAACAGGATTGTGGCTACTGTTTCTTAACCCTTTAAGAAATGAAACTGCAATAATGTAACTTAGTAGAAATCTCTTCTTGTACTTTCATCATTTTTTAAAATTAAAAATCCAGAATAGACCCATTGCTATATCTGCTTTCCATTCCATTTTCTATGTAATACTAGTAAATGATTTACTTATTACTAATTACAATCACTAATGATAATTTTGAGACCATTTCTCCACAGAAAAGTAGTATTCCTATTAATTGCCGTGTTTATTATTGTGATTTATAGGTCTAAGGATGTCCTTAAGAGATTAAATGAGGTGTGGTGTTTTCATTCTTTTTTTATAAACAGAAATAAAGTTTGGCATAAGTTAATAAAAATATATAGGTAGTCCTCTACTTACAACAGTTCGTTTAGTGACTGTTTGAAGTTACAACTGCACTGAAAAAAATGACTTATGACGGTTTTTCCACACTTATGACTGTTGTAGCACCCCCATGGTCATATAATCAAAATTCAGATGCTTGACAACTGACTCATATTTATGACAGCTGCAGTGGCCTGGGTCATGTGATTACCTTTTGAGACCGTCTGGCAAGCAAAGTCAATGGGGAAGCTAGATTCCCCTAACAGCTGGGTTACTAACTTAACAAGTGCAGTGATTCGCTCAAGAAATATGGCACAAAAGGTTGTAAAAGGGGCAAAATTCACTTAACAACTGTCTGACTTAGAAATGTTGGGCTCAGTTATGGTCATATGTCAAAGACTACCTGAACTGCCTGGCTAAAAATACAGCATTTTCATTGCCATAGTACCTTCTCTGTAACAGTGTCTGCCCTATGAAACATCATTCCTCCAGAGATTAGGATAGACCCAATCCTTTCATAAACCATTAAAAACCTGGCTGTTCCTCAAGTGATTGATCTTGGTAGTTAGGTAAGCTCTATTGGCTAATATAGATCAGGACTTCAATAATCTTTGATAGATACAGATTTCAACTTACAAAATTCCTCAGCCAGCATTCTAAGTAGAGAATTCTGGGAGTCAAAATCTACATCTTCAAACTGCCAAGACTGAGAAATATTGATATAGATTGAGCCGTGGTGGTGCAGTGGTTAGAATGCCGCACTGCAGGCTAATTCTGTTGACTGACAGATGCCTGCAATTTGGCAGTTCAAATCTCACCAGGCTCAAAGTTGAGTTAGCCTTCCATCCTGGGGTATGGAGTAAAATGAGGACCCAGATTGTTGGGATCAATATGCTGTCTCTGTAAACCGCTTAGAAAGGGCTGTAAAGCACTGTGAACGGTATGTAAGTCTAAGTGCTATTGCTATTGATGTCATTCTTTATGAGTTGGATTGGGCTTGGTATTTTGCTTTTTATTAAAACTGATCTACTTTTTAACCTGTATATGCCACCTAGAATTACTTTTGGAACATTGTACAAATTTTGGAAGTTGAAGTCAGATTGAGCAACATTATTCTAGAACATTAAAAAAAAGTTAACATGCACTGAAGGGTTGCAATATTGCTATCATATCTGGCCTACAAAAACCAAGAACCTAGATTTTTTTTCCCGTTCACTCTGAGACCCTTGCCAAAATTACTTGGAACAGAAACTTTCTGGGCTGGTGGTCATTGGACTTATCAAATGGGACCCAACTCCAGCTTCATCCTTGCCTGTGACTTGCCAGCAAGTTTATTTCTAAAGCCAGGTTTAGCAGACTTTCATGTTCAGAAAGGAAGGGTTTTGAGGAACATCATGAGGACTTTCTTCTGCTTCAGCCCAACTCTGTCCTCATCTCCTGCTCTTTCTTTGTAACTAAGCTCACCGTTCTAGGCAACAACCAAAATTCCCATCATGTTGGGGAGAGTGATTAACAGCTGTTGTCATCCTAGGTGGGACAGGAGTCCTATTCCTTTCTTTCCTATAGAGCACTGCACACCAGAACAACTAGACACAAGAACAGTTTTTTCCCGAAAGCCATCACTCTGCTAAACAAATAATTCCCTCAACACTGTCAAACTATTCACTAAGTCTGCACTACTATTAATCTTCTCATCATTCCCACCACCCATCTCCTTCCACTTATGACTGTATGACTGTAATTTTCTTGCTTGTATCCTTACAATTTATATTGATATTGTTTCCGGATTTCTTATTTGTACCCTATGACTATCATTAAGTGTTGTACCTTATGATTCTTGATGAACATATCTTGTCTTTTATGCAGGCTGAGAGCTTATGCACCAAGACAAATTCCTTGTGTGTCCAATCACACTTGGCCAATAAAAAAATATAATTCTAATTCAATTGTCTACCAGTCTGTGGTACAGAGAATCAGAATCAGAGCAGGGCTGAAAAGGACTTGGAGGTTTTCTAGTCCAGCACCCTGCTCAAGCAAGATATACCATATCAGATTTGTCTGATATACCATATCAGACAAATGACTGACCAGTCTCTTCTTAAAAACCTGGATTATCTTGTTTTTCTTTGAAGACATTTTGCTTCTTCAGCTCTGACAGGATAGCGGGGAATGAAAGGATTTATATTCCTTGCAGACAGCTGGTCATTTGCATCCTTTTAGAGGGTTGTTGAAGCATTCGCAGGTATATCTGTGTCCTCAGGGTCACCTTAGTAACGCTCCTGGTTCCTGTAGTCTGCACTTTTTTCCTCTGGAAATCCACTTCTAATACCACACTATTCAAAGGATATTCATCCCAAATTGTATAGCTAAAAGTCGGTAGAGATTCTCAGTCATCCAGGTAATGGTTGTCCTAAAGGTGCTTTTTCAGGAGGCAACTGGACTTGCTTGTTTTTTCTTTTGAAGATGTTTCACTTCTTATCCAAGAAGCTTCTTTAGCTCTGATAGCATAGTGGGGAATGGAAGGATTTATATTTCTTGCAGACATTTGCTGGTCATTTGCTTTCTTTTAGAGAGTCTTGAAGCACTTACAACTTCTGAAGGTAAGTTGTCCCACTGGCTAATTGTCCTCACTGTTAGGAAGTTTCTCTTTAATTCCAGGTTGCTTCTCTCCTTGATTAGTTTTCATCCATTGTTTTCTTGTCCTGCCTTCTGAGGCTTTGGAAAATAAATTGACCCCCCTCCTCTTTGTGGCAGCCTCTTAAATACTGAAATACTGCTATCATATCCTCTGTAGTTCTTCTTTTCTTTAGACTAGCCAAACCCAAATCCTGCAATCATTCTTCATGTTTTAGTCTCCAGGCCTTTAATCATCTTAGTTGTTCTTCTTTGCACTTTTTCCAAAGTCTCAACATCTTTTTTGTGGTGATCAAAACTGGATGCAGTATTCCAAGTGTAGCCTTACTAAGGCTTTATAAAGTGGTACTAATACTTCATGTGATTTTGATTCCATGCCTCTGTTTATACAACCAAGGATTGTATTCACTTTTTTGGCGGCTGCTACACACTGCTGAATCATGTTTTTTTTTAAGAATTTATTTTTTATTTATTTTTTATACACACAAACAAACATACAATGTATTTTTTCTGAACAGAATATTGGCTGGTTCACAAATTTAAGCAGTTTTTAGTAATTTCAACTAAATTTACAATTTATATATTCTCT